GGAGCGGGGAGGGGTCCTCGAGCTCGTCGACCAGGGCGTCGATCATCGTCAGCCGCACGCGGCGGTGCCGGGCAGCCTGCCGCGACCGCCGCAGGGAGTCCAGCGCCAGCCTGGGGCCAAGCGACCAGGCTCTCGGAGGCTCCTCCCTGCGGCCTCCTCCCCTCACTGGATGATCCAACCTCCCCCCCCCCCTCGACTTCTTCTGCTCCTCCTGCTCCTCCTGCTTCTCCTCCTCCTTCTTCTCCTCCTCCTCCTGCTCCTCCTCCTCCTCCTCCTCTTCCTCCTCTTCATCGCCATTACCAACAACACCAACACCAGCAGCACCACCGCCACCGCCACCACCACCACCATCATCAGCAGCATCATCATCAGCATCATCAACATCAGCAGCATCATCAAGATAATGAACATCATCAGCAGCATCGTCACCATCCATACCCGAACCATCGCAATTCCCATCCATATCACCATCATCCGCATCAGCATCATCTTCATCATCAGCATCATCACCATCATAAACATCAGAATCATCACCATCAATATCATCATCATCACAATCATCAGCAACAGCATCATACTCATCATCATACGCGACACCATCGACAGAAGCATCGCCATCATTTCCACCATCATGAACAGCATTATCATAATCGTGATCATGGTCACCATCATCTTCATCCGTATCATCATCACCATCATCCCCACCGCTAGCATCATCACCGTCGTCATCATTCCCATCATCACCACCAGCACTACCATCCTCATCACCACCATACGTACCATCATATTCAGCACTGCCAGCATCATGATCGTCATAGTAGCACCATCCTCATCGTCATCAGCCCCATTCCCATCATCACCATCATCATCATCATCACCATCATCATCACCCTCGCCATCATGATGGACAAATCACATCATCACCAACGCTACCATCACAAGCAAAGTCGCCAATACCACCATCATCAACACACACGGAAACAGCGTCACCACCACCGTCATCATCACCACCACCATCACGATCACCATCGTCGGCACTATCACCCCCCATACTCATCATCACCAACACCAACACCAACATCATCGGCATCACCATCACCATCAGCATCAGCACCAGCACCAGCATCAGCATCAGCATCAGCATCAACATCATCATCATCATCATCATCATCATCATCATCATCATCATCATGGTCAGCATCCGCATAATCAGCATCAGCATCTTCATTGTAATCCTCATCAGCACCAACATCGTCATCATCGTCGTATTCATCATCATCGCAACCACCATGCTGATATTCGTACGCATGCTCATCATTATCGGCAACATCCTCAACTTGATCATCCCCCATTCTCCCCTCCCGTCTTGAGTGATCCCTCCTCCTTCTCCTCCTCCTCCTCCTCCTCCCTCCTCTCTGCTCGCCCACCTCTCTCATTTCCACTCTCTTCTCTCTCCTCTCGCCTCTCTCCTCTCTCCACTCTCCTCTCTCTCCTCTTCCCCTCTCCGCCTGCTCCTCCTCCTCCTCCTCCTACTTCTCCTCCTCCTCCAGCTCCTCCTCCTCCTCCTGCTCCGATCGTTTTCCTCCGATCCTCCGCCTCCAGCTCCTCCTCCGCCTCCTCCTCCTTCTATCGTCCCTCGTCTATCAGAATGAGTGCGCCGAACGGTCATTCATTGTCCCTGGGCGCGTGGCTGAATAAGGAATTCGTGGAGAGAGTTCTGCTTGTTACGTTGTTGAGTTCTCATTTCTGAAGAACAATTATTGTTGACCCCCCCACCAGTGCATACGGTTTTTTCTAAATCAAAGTGTACCCCTCGACGCTTGCACCCTGTCTTTTGACAGGGAAAATCTTGATGCTCAAACTGGGCCCCTGGCTCCCGGGTTACATCAACAACGGCTCCCGCCTGAGACTTCCTTACAATTTAGCCAGGACCCCCGCTCCCGCCCAAGACTTCCTCGCATTTTATTCAGGAGTCGCGCTCTCATTTGGGACTTCCTTACAATCGATTCAGGAATCGCTCTCCCGGAGCTCTGGAGTCGCGCTCTCGCTGGAGACTTGCTTGCAACTTACTGAAGAAAGGCCTCGCGTTGGAATTTCCTGCAATTTGCCCAAGCGCCGCGCTCCCGACACCCAGGCACCCAGGAGTCGCGCCCGTTGTGGCCCCATGTGCATGCCCTTCGTGGCCCCGCTGTCGCGATTTGTGTCCCCCTCACTGTCCTACGTGGCCCAGTTGCTACCCTCAGTGGCCCCATAGTTGCCTTCTGTGGCCCCGCATTATCTGCACGTCGTGGCCCCCGCTCGTTCGCGCTCTTCTTGGCCCCATACGCATTCCTTTCGTGTCCCTGCTGTCGCCCTTCGTGGCCTACTTCGTGCCCTTCGTGGCCCTGCTGTCGTTCTCTCTCGCTCTCGCTTTCGCTCGTCGTCGCCGTCGTCGTCGTCGTCGTCGCCGTCGTCTTCGACGTCGTCGTCGTCGTCGTCGTCGTCGTCGTCGTCGTCGTGGTCGGTCTCCTGTCCGTCCCTCTTGGGGTCGGGTCGACGGTCGCGGCCGCCCCGCCGATCAGCGCTGCCGCTGGCCAGGCCGACAGGCCGGCCTGCAGGGAAGAAAGTGTACCCCCCAAAAGAGGTTCGATCGAACACGAAGAGGGCGGGTATCGAGGGTTTGGGAAATACGCGTTATTGGACACTCGAGCATATAAGGGCGAACAATATTAAAATTATTGTTGTTGTTGCTGTTGTTATTGTTGTTGTTGTTGTCGTTGTTGTTGTTGTGGTTGTGGTTGTGGTTGTGGTTGTGGTTGTTGTTGTTGTTGTTGTTGTTGTTGTTGTTGTTGTTGTTGTTGTTGTTGTTGTTGTTGTTGTTTGTTGTCGTCGTCCCACCTGCGACCCGCCCGCGACCCAACCCGCGACCCACCCCGCGACCCAACCCGCGACCCACCCCGCGACCAAACCCGCGACCCACCCGCGACCCAACCCGCGACCCACCCGCGACGCCACCCGCGATCCACCCGCGACCCGCCCGCGACCCACCCGCGACCCACCCGCGACCCACCCCGCGACCCACCCGCGACCCACCCCGAGACCCATCTGCGACCCATCCGCGACCCACCCGCGACCCACCCCGCGACCCACCCGCGACCCACCCGCGACCCACCCTCAAGGGAGGAAAAATCACCCGGACCGACAATTGACGTATACTCAACAGCTCTGAGCGTCGACTAAATAGCCCTGCCCTGTTCGATTCATTGATTGTGTGCGTTTACTAAACGGCTTCGCTTGTCGGAGTGATTATTATGGGGTGGATTTTCTGCCCTCGACACCCGCGACCCACCCGCGACCCAACTGCGACCCGCTCGCGACCCACCCGCGACCCATCCGCGACCCACCCGCGACCCACCCGCGACCTACCCACATTGGCTTAACGAAAAAATCGGCGCATGCGGCGGGCTCGTTGTATACTTTGTGATACTTGGGCGCCTGCGGCGACCTTCTCCAGAGTCTCGCAAACTGCCGACGTCCCCACCGCCCCCTCACTCTTATCCGCATCTGCGAGGTGCTACGTATTCCCCTCTCCCGCTCTTCCACCTCCTCATCTTCCTCTCTCGTCTTTCGTTTCTCCTCCTATCTCCTCCTCTCTCGTCCCGCCTCTTCCGCTCTCATACCCCCCCCACTCCGTCCTCTTTACACCTGATCTCCATCCTCCCTCCTTCTCCGCCCCCACCCCCCTCTCTCCTTGCCTGGGGGGGGGAGGGAGGAGGAGGAGGAGAGGTCGGAGAGGGGGCCGGAGGAAGGAGGAGGGATGTGGCGGGGGGGACGGGAAGAAGGGACGGAGAAGGAGGGGGGGGTGGAAGAGGACAGGAGGACACGGTAGTTGTAAACATATACATACCATGCCTGGTGACCACGTGACATGGGGAAGGGGCGAAGGGGAGGAGTGAGGAGGAAGGGAGGGGGAAAGACCAGCGTAAACCAGAGCCGCCTCAACGATGCTACACTGAACCCTCCCTCAGAATTCCTCATCCGAGGTCCCTGCAATGATGTATTTTCACTGTGGGACATGCCCCGTTGCAAGACAATCGTCAGAGAATCCTCAATCGTGCCAAAACATCACTTCTGGGACTTCGACGCCAAGAATCAACATTACTGTTGTGTCCTCGCGATCCTGCATCGCATCCAAATGCCGCTCTTGGCACTTCAAAACCGCGAATCAACGTGACTGCTGCACCATGGCAATTCAAAATCGTACCGGAACGCAATTCCTAGGACGTCAACCATGAATTCATGAACCTGTTTCAAACTTTGAAACGGATGTGCGCGGCGCTAAAGCGTGAACCACATTTCAAAACTCAAAGGCCCTCTATCCGTGAGGCTCTTGCGAACTTTCAAAACGAATGTGCGCGGACGGCACAAGGCTGAAACCACATTTGGAAAACCACACGCCCTCTATATACGTGAAGCTGATGCGAAGTGTTTTTAAACAAGTGCGTGGCGCGAAACAAAAAAAAACACTTTGAAAACGGCCCGCCCTTTATCCGCTAAACAGTCGAACACGTTGAACAAGAATGTGCGCGGCGCGAGGGCAAGAAACACACTTCGAAAACGGCCCGCCCTTCATCCGTGAAAGCGTCGCAAGTAACAAAAGCTGCAAGACCAGAACGAACGAGGGCTTCTCCAGCGAAGCGCCAAACCCGCCCTGCCAGCACGCTTCGGGGAGCGACAGGGAATTATTTATTACGAGGAGAGATTGAAGGAGGGGACGAACTGGCCATCGCTCGGACGTCCATTCCCTGTGTTTTTGTTCGGTTACGTGCCTGGTTTTTTCGCAGGATGATCCAGGATGCTCCTTAATAAACCCCGCCGAGAAAAAGTGCACACGTCCGAGCGACACCAAGCGAAGAAGCGGCTGCAAGACGGGTGCGGGACGGGAAGTTATTCCGCCGACCGGCTGCCTCACCGTGAGCTGCTCCTCGGACGCGACCCTGCCGCGCACCTGCTGGCGGGGCCCCGCAGCGTTTCACGGCGGCGCCCGCGAATCGCTGGGGGCGGGAGGCAACGCAAGGGCGGGGGGGGGAGGACGGCCCGAGATCGTCGAGCCAGAATCGGCGCTACCTCGGCTATGGATCGGCGATGGGCCCCCGATGGCGAAACCGCACGTCCCTGGGCGGGGTGGGCTGTCAAGCCCCTCTCGGCGATGAAGCGGCAGCCTCCCCCCCCCAACCGATGCCCCTGCAGAGCGCGACGGACCTCAGACAATCAAGGTCTCTTCCCCGTGCCAATGATTGCCCTCCGTCTCGGCCCTCGGAGGCTCCTGGCGGGCCTCTGACAAAACCTGTACGGAGGTGGGGAAGCTGTCCTCCAAAGAGAGGTGCCGAGCTGTGCGCGGGAAGATTGGGTCAACCGTGAGACGTTTGCGGGGGCAGAGCAGAGAGTAGCACTCATACCTGTGGCACTAAAGGACTATTCCAGGTAATGAGGTTGCAGGTTGGGTGCAAGTTGTTCTGCCTGCGATTGGCGCCGGGGTAGTTTGCAGATCCACCGATCTGAAAATATCGATAGATGTGTGCATATACGCATTTGAGTGTTCGTTTCCTGACCTGTCGGTCTTACTGTCTACCCAACGATCCCTCTACCGAAATATCGGTCGATACTTCGAGCTGTCGATCCCACTGAATATTCCCATTCCGCGATCGATGTACTATATACGTGTGTCATCAACTGTCAACGTATTTCACTACTGTCGGGACAACCACGGGATAAACGCAAAACTACGGCGGGCAACCACGCGACAACCACGGGACACCAACGGAATCACATCAAACCAAGCACGGGACAAACACGGGACAACAGTGGAACAAGCGCAAGACAACGCCAGAACCCAATCATGACAGCCACGGGACAGCCGTCTGATAACCAAAGGCAGCCACGGGGCATCGATCCAACGACCTATCGGCCTCACTATCAACCGAACGACCTCACCCATCGATTCGTCGCTCGACCTCGCGATCCGATCTCACAAAAGTATGTATCAGAATGGGGGGGGGCGAACGGTCATGCATTGTCCGTGGGTGCGTGGGTGACATGGGGACCCGTGGGGAAGGTTTTGCTTGTTGCGTTGTTGCAATGTTGTTGTTGTTGTTGTTGTTGTTGTTGTTGTTGTTGTTGTTGTTGTTGTTGTTGTTGTTGTTGTTGTTGTTGTTGTTGTTTGTTGTCGTCGTCCATCCCGCGACCCATCGCGACCCACCTCGCATACCCAAGTGCGACACACCCGCGACCCACCCCGCGATTTACCCGCAACCCACCCGCGAACCACCCGCGACCCCACCCCACAACCCACCCGCGACCCACTCCGCGACCCATCCGCGAAACATGCGCGACCCACCTGAGGCCAACTTGCGACCCACCCGCGACCCACCCCGCTACCCGTTCACCCGCGAACCCACCCGCGACCCACTCCGCGACACATCCGCGAACCAACTGCGACCCACCCGAAACCCACTTGCGACCCACCCGCGACCCACTCCGCTACTCACTCACCCGCGGCCCATCCGCGACCCACCCTGCGACCCACTTGCGACCCACCCGCAACCCACCCCGCGACGCACCCGCGACCCACCCGCGACCCACCCGCGTCCCAGCCGCGACCCACATATAATATGGGTAGGCCGCGGATGGGTCGCAAATGGGTCGCGGTTGGGTCGCGGGGTGGGTCGCGGGTGGGTCGCAAGTGGGTCGCGAATGGGTCGCGAGTGGGTCGCGGGTGGGTCGCGCGTGGGTCGCGGGATGGGTCGCGGGTGGGTCACGGGTGAAGTCGCGCGTGGGTCGCAGGGTGGGTCGCAAGGTTGGTCGCCGGGTGGGTTGCGGGGTGGGTCGCGGGTGGGACGACGACAACAAACAACACCAACAACGACAACAATCATGTTCAGACTGCTCGCTCTTACTGGCACGCGTGTCCTTTCACTATGCATATCCCAAACCCTGGATGCCCGCCCTCTTCGTCTTCGATCGTGCCCACTATTAGGGGGGTTACACTCCTTCCTGGCCACGCGTACTTGGAGAAATCCCCAAACAGGGAAACGAAAGGGATACGACTGAAAGAGAAGGCGAGCGGACCGGAGGAAATAAGGGAATAGAGGGGCAAGAGGGAGGAACGACGATGATTTGTGCCGCGAGTTGCGATTCAGCTTGCGCCATGATGGCTTGCGCCAGCCATTCCAACACAGGTCAACCAAAACCCTCGCCATGGGTCGCGCCATAAACAACGCCATGTAACACCTCTGGTGCTGCTCGGCGAGGTGTTAGAGGCGAGTGTGGCGCCCGATGCCATCACCCAGACGGCTGCAAGGCCAGGGTGTGTGAGAGGAACCGGCAGGGACCGCGGGCTCCGTTGCTGCAGCACGACATGCGGCATTTACGGCGACCGGGGGAACCGCATAACGGTAGCTGGCTCTGGCGCTGCTCAGCGAAAAGTTGGAGGCGAAGCAGCAATCAGGGGCAGCGAGCTCTGGCACTTGTCTGTGGGATGCGGCAATCGACTCTGGGACCCCATGACATTAGCTATAACGCGGTGGTCACCGCGTGCAGGATAACGACCTATGGCAGTGGAGAGTGTTGTTGGCCAGCGACCCCATGGGAGGTGAAGTGGGAGCCCGATGTCATGAATCACGCCGCTGGGATCCGAACGTGCGGGAATATTATGAGCCATGTACAGCAATAAAACACACTTATCACAGCGCCGGGATGTGCGTGCGCGGGAAAAGACAAACCGCAGCAACAGGTACTGGCGATGCTGCTCAGCGTGAAGCGGGAGGCAACGCTCAAGGAGACATGGGAGGTGAACTGGAGCCCGCCATCTCCAGCCACAGCGTTGGGGGTCAGAGATCTGGCAATGTCCGGGAACGCGTGGGAGACGATACCAAAGCCAGCCGTGACCAGCTGCAGCGCTAGTGCCGGCGCGTGCGCGGCAGGCTGGATCTTCCAATGGGCCCAAGGGCTGCCCAGCGGGATGTTGAGGGCGAAGTTGGAACCCGATGGGAAGCGTGGGGAAATCCTCAAATACAGCGATTATGTGTGAGCGATGAAAACGGGCAGCGCGTTTGAACACAGGGAGCTGTTGGTGGTTCTGGTGCTCGTCGGCATGATGTGGGCAGTCAGGCTGGAGTCCAACGCTACCTGAGCAACAATGATGGAGCAGGGCAGTCCCGTCTTGTGGGGGTTGGGCGCCCAATTCCAGTTGCCGGGTGCCGCTCGTCGACCAGCCAGTCCCTGGCTCTATGGCGGGCGGGGTTCGGGGGGCGCGAAGGGCAGACTTCCCCAAGGGCATCGATTTTGGGAGAACCGATGGCCAAACGAGCCCCGCATCAAACACAACACAAAAAGAACCCCGAACGCTGGACGTCATGGCCGTCGCATTTGAAAAGGGGCCCACTCCCCACCGCCCCGTCGGCAGCAGCAGCACCCCCAGCCCCCCCCCCGCCCCCTTGGCTACGCCACCCGAACTGCTCAACAGCCAGGCGCGGGCTTGGAGCATGGGCGACGGGTCACATTGGGCCCCTGGCTTCAAAAAGGCGTCTTAACACTCGCAGGGCTCCGAGCGACGGCCAAACAACGCCTGCACTGCAACGCGGAAGAGCCAGGAGCCAAGGGAGGGAGGAGGAGGAGGGGGAAGGGGAGGAAGGAGGAAGAGGATGACGAGGATGAAGACGAGGATGAGGAGGAGGATCAAGAGGAGGAGAGGGAGGAGGAGGGAGGCAGGCAGGCAGGCAGGCAGGAAGGGAAGGAGGAGAGAGAAGAGGGAGGAAGGCGGGGGCTGAAGGGCCGACTGGCTGGCCCCGGGCAGGCGACGAGGCAGTCGCGCGGGCTATCGGCCTGGCTGGCTGAAGGGCCGGCTTGCCGGACCCTGGGAAGCAAGCGGGCGCCAAGGGGGACGGCCGGAGACGACGACGACGAAGGGGCGCGAGGGATGGAGGGAAGGATGGGGGGGGGGAGGAAGGGAGCAGGGAGGGACGGGGACGAGGCGAAAACACCATTTCACAAGGAAGACTCGGGCGGCAGCCCACGACGGGCGGGCGATCCTCTGACGGGCGGGACGGGCGGCTTGGACATTCAAGCGGGATGCCTGAGTAGGGCGAGAGCGCGATGCCTAAGTAAAGTGTGAAGGCGTCCATGGCAAGAGCGTGGTGCCTAAGCGTAGATAGCGCGATTCCAGAACAAACTGCGCAAAAGTCACATACGAAGACGAAATTCCTGAAAAAGGGATGTCTGGCGGGAGCGGGGGTCTAGACTAAGGAGCAAGGGAATCTTAAGCGGGACCGCAGTTCTTGAGTACATTGTTAGGAAGCTTCACGGGAGGGGGGTCCTGACGAAATTGCGAGGAAATCACGAGCGGGAGCGCTGATCCTGAGTAAATGGGGAGGAAGTCTCAGGCGGGAGCCGCGGCGGGAGCGGGGATCCTGAGTAAAGTTTGAAGAAATCTCAAGCGGGAGCCGTTATTGTTGTAGTCCTGGGGAGCAACAAAGCAGTTTGACCCGGATTAAGTTGTGAAGAAGTCTCAAGCGGGTGTGCCGTTCCTGAATAAACTGAAAGGAAGTCTCAGACGGGAAGGGGGGTCCTGAGTAAATTTGGAGGAAGTCTCGGGCGGGAGCGGGGGTCCTGGCTAAATTGTGAGGAAGTCTAAAGCGGGAGCCGTTGTTGTAGTCCGGGGGGCCAGGGGTACAGTTTGACCAGGAAGACTTTCCCTGTCCAAAAACAAGTGCGAGCGTCGAGGGGCACACTTTGACGGAGAAAAAAAATATGCACCGGTGAAGGGGGAGCAACAAAAATTATTCAGAAATGAAAGCTCAACAACAACAATCGTTTTAAGACTGTTCACCCTTATCTGCTCGAATGTCCGATCACGCGTACCTCCCAAACCCTCGATGCACGCCCTCGTCGTCTTCGATCGAGCTCTTTTTGGGGGTGTACCTTTCTTCCCTGCAGGCCGGGCCCCAGCACGCGGCAGGGCGGC